GGAATAAATCTGGATAAACAGACGATCTCTAATAAGACAAAGTCAGGCGTTTCAGACTGCAACCTCTGTATTTGATATGTGAACTGCGAGAGCTCCATTTAAATTAATGGCGGTGCTGTTTAAAAACGTCTGAGTACTCTTTACCTTCGCCAAGAAGGTTATGTTTTCAGGGGCGTTCGTGTATGTGTGTGTGTGTCTGTCAACACGATAACTTGAGAAGGTCTTGATGAATTGTCTTGATACTTGGTAGGTGGGTAGGTCTTGATGAGACCTCAAAATGATTAGATTTTGGGCCACCTGGCGGCTTGTCATGGTACTGCAGCAGAACTTCCGGTTTTGATATCTCATGATCCAGACATGCTAGGGTGACGAAATTTAGATGGTACATAGCTCTTGTGCTGGGGATAAAGTGACATGAGTTTGAGCCCCCTAGTTGCTTGCTCTAGAACTGCAGGGGGGTTTAATGGACAAATGTTTAAAGGGGGATAACTCAAGAACCGATGGATGGATCATCGTGATTTTTGGTATGTAGGTAGCTTGAGTGATGCTTGACATAATGATATTACAATTTTGCAAATATTGATGTAATTTGCATAATTAATGAGGAAATTCTATTTATCAGCTGCATTCCATAATAGGAAGTTCAAGCTTGTGACATATGTTATTAAGAATGAGAGAAACACAGGTAGATATCAATTATGCAAATGAAGACTTAGTTTGCATAATTAATGAGAAAATATTATAATTGCATAGTGGTAACTGCCTGGAATTTTATACTTGGGGTGTTTGAAAGTTAAGTTAAGGTGAACATAATTAAACATAACTTATTCAAATAAGGACCTCATTTGCATAATTTATGAGAAAATTTCATCATGGCATTCTTTGTTAAGATAAGACTGTCTTTTGGTGGAGAATATGATCAACAGATATAATTCATGCAATTGAGGATCCTTTTTGCATAATTAGGGGGATTAATATATAATTTCTTAATCATAAAAGCTAACATCATTTGGCGAAGGTATGAGATCGTGGAACTCTAGTTTCATATAGGATGAAGATAAAAAAAGAAAACATGATCATTATTCCTCCTATCCATCTCCTCTGTCTGTCTCACATGTCCATCACAGGTAAGAGGAAGATCACACAGCTGGGGCACCAGCTGAAGTTGAACCAGCACTGCATGGACACTGCCTTCAACTTCTTCAAGATGGCTGTCAACAAGAAACTGACCAGAGGGCGTAAGACGAACCATGTCGTGGCCGCCTGCCTATACCTGGTCTGCAGAACCGAGGGGACGCCTCGTATCCTTCAGCTGACAGGAACTGCTGTTGTCATCTATATGCATATGTGTGGCTCCAGCTTACTAGTATTATGATTGTTATTATGTTGTGGTGTGGAGGCCTGTGTATTTGCAGAAAGTACTTCTAAATTGAACAAAAAAAATTGACATTCTGCAATATTGCAGAACACTGAAAAAAAAAGCATTTTGAATACTGCAGATATCTAGAAAAACAAAGAGGGCTTGTTCACTTATGTTGAAGTATCATTTAACAAAAAATAGTGGGATTTTTCAGCCAGTCATGAGACATATCAGAATTATGACACTGAAGGTAACGTTATATACTGGTAATGTATATTGTATAAGAAAACTTGCTTTTCCTGAAGTTTGCCATGCTTATGATGATATGGCACAAGGTCTAGACATGGGGTTATACATGTTATATATTACACATCTACTTGCAATCAGGTCTCACAGTGATGAATAGATTCTGCCCCAGTGTATGACACATTCTGATGAATAGCCCCCTCACAAGCTTACTCCACAGAATGGCATCCAAGCTCGCAGAGCTGGATACCAATGTATCATGACTTTGATGTCAGGTCTGTATGATATGCCTCAATATTATGTTCACTACATTTTCTGTATGATGTAGATCTTAGGATGACAGTTGATTCAGCAATTCAAACAATACCTTGTCTGGAGGGGGAACGGATCATTATCTTATCCAGTCATTTCAGGACAAGGCTTTCCATTCCTGTATAAGGCCATACCAGTTGAATTTGTTGGTTCTCTGATATAGAAAAAATAATGCTCAACTGGAATATTAACAAGAATGGTTGTACCTTGGTGCACAATTTAGAACATCAGTGGAAGCGACTGTAGCCTGGAAGACTAGGATTGCATCCTTCCCAGAAGTTTGAATACTCCGATTGCTTGTTTATTCCTTACGATGGCCTGACTGAATACTAGTAACACTGCACTATGCAGCTGCCAGGTGGGAAATTGAAGTGTATTGATCTCACTAGAAATGACATTGACCGTCACTCTGAATCAATAGTCAGTCAATATCAGCCTTTCTCACCAACAACCAGAGGCAGGTGGAGTCCCATCTCTTCTTAGTTTCCAGATCCATCATTGACAGTCCAGTCTCGAAAGACTATCTCGTCAGCACCCAGATAATGTGATATTTATACATGTGGCCACTCCCAGTCATTTTGTTGGTTCTTTGATTTAGAAAGCTAAGCCTAAGGCCAGTAAGGGAAGTCTGTACTGATGATCATGCAGTTTCAGGCAGTAAACATAGTGAGATTTAAATAAAAGTCCCCCCCAGTTCTCTGTTTTCATCTTGATCTCTTGCTGAATTTCCACTTTGTCTCAGAAAAAACTCATGCCTCTTGTCCTCTTAACTTTCCCTTAATTTTTGTGTAGATATTCCAGTTCAACAAGTTACACTGGTGTGGCCTTAGGTGAAAGACACATGTACGTTGCATCCCTTTTTAGGCTTTGAGAGTCGAAGCTGAGTGACATGGACGTCCTCATGATTTATCTACGTTAGGCCAGCCCTGCTGAGTTATGATCATAAGGCCAGCCCTGCTGAGTTACAATCATATCTGCCAGTGACTTGATAAGCGATCACAACAATCAACTTACTGTGAGAAGTACGGCACCCTGGGGGCTCTTGTCACCATATGGTGCACCATTGTGTGGGGAATGATTTTCTACATTGACATGATGTTTCAATGCTAATGCTAAAAACACTGACGGATCATTAGCGATGTTGTTAGCTTTTGGTTTAGACATAGATTGACCTTCTTTCAGAGTGATCACATTAAAAAAATGTCGTGGTGAGATTTTTCTAATTAAAAACTCTCAATATGTGAGAGGCCTGTATGTGGTATTGTTCTAGTAATCAGGGGATCTCCTAATCAATGTTAGTAGACACCCAGGCGTACGGTTGTGGTACTTCTCTTGATTAGATGTAGAGGTGGGACCAGCAGGAGATGCTTGTCACTTTATCAAACCTGAGCCCTGGGAATGGCCACCCCACAGGGGTGTTCCTAGGCTTTTAAGTATATTTGTTCGGCTGATGCTGAGTTCCTAACGGCCACTTTAATCACTCCCCAGCACACCTGACTGTCAGTCTTACCAGAGCTGCACATAACTCAATCTGAAGCTCAGTAGCAGTCAGCTTCTTATCCACTTCACACTACGATATAGCATTCATTGTCTTGTCCCAGGGGTTACCAGTTGTCTTATAAAGAAATGAGTTTAAAATTTTTGAGCTTGCTGATGCTGATGATGGTGCAATTGATAGTTCTGGTAGAATTTGAATGTTATGTATTGGAGTGAAAATAACATTGAACATGATAGAAGGTGTTGTCCTCTTTGGAAAAGTTTCCTGATTACCAACATGTGCATTTCTCACACTGTTCTACAGATTTTCTTTAATTCTGTAATTTCCTCAGACCTGCTCCTGGATTTCAGTGACATCTTACAGGTTTGTCATTTTAGTTTAGTTTATTTCAAACCTTCAAAACAACTTTTCTTGTATGCATTTTCATGCACTAATATTATTCATGTAAACAACTTATGAGATACATGTACATGGATTATGCATGTACATGATACAGGTTTTTTACCCTCCATGAAAATGGGGGTATTGTTTTTACTCCGTTTCATGTTCGGTCTGATATCTGAAGATCGGTGAGAAGGAACTGTACGATATTTGGCAGATTGATGGATGGGGCCTTGGAGATTGTGTAGGTTGACTTTGAGCCCCTGGTGATTGACCTTGGTACTGCAGTTTAGTTTTTTTATTCTGTTGTTTGCGTGTTATGGACTGTTTGTGCGATATTAAGGTAGCATGTAGTTGTTATTACCATGGTTTAGTGGTTTAAATTTGGGCTTCCTAGCTGTTTGCGTTTGATATTTACAATATGTTTAAAGTTGGTCTTTTTGTGTTGAATGTTTGGAAAATCTGGTGGGTCGTTTGGTATAATATTTGGTATGTGGGTAGTTGTTGAGTCTCTTTGCGTTTTAGAGTGCATTAGCAGGTTGTCGTATATTTGTATTGCTTAAATTTAAAAGGATTTTTACATTATCACCCCTTTTTTATAGTAGTGTGGTCTGTGTTTACCCCAGTTGGTACATGGCAGTGTATCTATTTTACCTCCTGTTTGTACAGGCTATATATTTCTTTGGTCTGGTTTTGGGTCTATTGGCCTGCTGGCCTTGCTAATGGGGTGGTTTGTTTGTGTTGTGATTGAGAGGTCAATGACCTCACCTCTGCAGGATTGATTATGATTATCTTTGGTTCGTGGTATTTTTTTAGTTTCTGTGTTTTAGTGTCCATAATAGTTGGTGGTTGTAGATATGTAGTGTAGCTTATTCTGCAAGGTATGCTGTGCATTTCTTATTGATTATTTGCTGCCATAGATAAGGACTTGAGACCTGTGGGGTTAGGTTTAGACAGGGAGCTTGGGTGTTGTGCATTCGTAACTTGACTCCTTGCACTCCTACCACCAGGAAAACAAATGTCTCTCAGGCTATTAGGAAATACCACTATTCATGGTGATAGTCTGCATGTCACTTCTGGTAGTCTGTGAAGCCGACAGGAGGCCACTGTAAAACTCGCTTGAAAGTTTATCTGGGTTGGTACTTACATTATAAAAATTAAAATTGTACCAACACAAAGCAACTCCCTCATTATTCATGGCCATATAACGTCCAATTAAATTTAAACCCAGCTGTCATGTTTTAACAATGAACACATATAACGCGATAACATAAAAAGGAACCCTAACAACACCAACCTCGTTCATGGAGGGAAGATGTCTATTGCTTGTTGTTTATTGAGTTACAGATAAATTATGTACATGTGTCTATGTTACAGTTGAATGTGAACTCACAGGTACATGTGTATGTATTACAGCCTACAGGTGACTGTGTGTTACAGGTGAATGTCTGAGTTACAGTTGAATGTGTTACAGGTGAATGTCTGTGTTACAGGTGAATGTGTTACAGGTGAATGTGTTACAGGTGAATGTCTGTGTTACAGGTGAATGTGTTACAGGTAAATGTGTTACAGGTGAATGTCTGTGTTACAGGTGAATGTGTACGTACTGGGGAAGCTGTACCTGAAGCTGGCCCAGGAGCTGTGCATCAATGTTCCTGCAATCGGTAGGTCATACAGTTCAACATCCATGCCAAACCCTTATTTGGTATCTTGTGCCAGGCCAGAAGTCTTCCATTGTGGGGCCTTTTGCATCAGCTGATAGTGAAATGTGACCTCACCACAACAGGTCACTCCTCCTTATATAATAAAACATGTAGGTGTGTACACCCGCGGCTCCCACATACACAGGACAGAAAACCCCATTTAAACATGTTTTTTAAAGGGCTTGTATAGCAGTTTTTATATCTGGGAAAAGCTTGTTCCAGTTTGATGTACCCTTAAACCAAATCTTTTTTGTCCATTCCATTTATCAATTTTATGTAATACAAAATAAGCAACTGGATGAATTCTTGGGAAATGTATCTAATGCTTGATTTATTTTGCACTATGTAATGATCTACCTGGATGTCTAACATCCATTGATGTATTCATTCATCATTGTTTTTCACATGAAATGGAGATTTTATTAGCTTTAAGCAGCTATTTGTCTCCATCTAACTGCATCTAATTTCATCTCCAAGCATGAGTCATGTTTATAGACTGTTGATTCACATATGTTCCATGAAATGGGGTGTGGATGATGCATCTGTTGAATGCATAAAAAACAGGGTTTTCCACAGTGTCTATCATCACCTTCAGTTGGAGGAATTGTGTTGTTATTTACAACTAAAGGTTATTACAATGTAATAGCAAACAAGACTTGGCAAGCAGAATTGGTGAGTCTAACATGAAAGAGATTAATTACAGTCAGTCAAAACACCCCACAAGGTAAGTATGGGTTTACTGAGGAATGAAAAAAAAATTCTGTGGCTGGAAAGAGAAACCATAGATGAGAACCAGTGGGGTTGCCTTTTAAAAGGGGGATGCTGAATACCTATTTTTCTTGAACCATCCTCCCATTTGTGACACATGCGCCACCAAGGAATAACCTAGAAAGTAGGACTGTTTTGCACTGGTACATTTTGATGGATGAGGCTTTGGATCCATCAAGTGGAGAGGAATGCTGACTCATCGGGAAAATGTTCCTAGCCAGTGTAAGTGTTCCTAGCCAGTGTAAGTGTTCCTAGCCAGTGTAAGTGTTCCTAGCCAGTGTAAGTGTCCCTAGCCAATGAAAGTTTTCCAAGCCAATGAAAGCATTCCCAGCCTGTGATAGTGTTGCTATCTGGCTGCAGATGTGTATCAAGCCAGAAGTGAAAGCGTTTCTATCAGGTACAGGTTTGTATCAGGCCAGAAGTGAATGTGGGGAAGGCAGATGGGGAGCCAGTTTGGAGCTGATAAGGATTGAAACATAC